AGTTCTAGGTACTTGCACAAGTTAAAATGTTCAGTCCTTGGACTAATGACAAACCTCCGTTTATTTTCACTAAGATTTTTACATTTCCAGTATATTGGCTGCTTTTACATATCCTGACAAGGTGGGTGGTGATATTAAGCTATATTTTTTTTGAAGTATTTGTCACCCTGAAAAAGTTTATTATTCACAAATCTCTTAGCAACATACCATGAGGCATTTATTAACGCTACTTTACATAATTTAAAAACAGCAAAACCATGCTACAAAAATGGGAAACATACCCAGTTAAAAGTTTGCTTTTATATTTTTTTTTTAGTAGCTGCTGACCAGATGATTATACCTGCTTCTAAAGGATAATTTGAAAAGAGGTAGAAGAAATCCTTAGGTCATTTATTCAAACATTTTCCAAAGATACCTTGTCCATAAGCACTTTGATCTAAAATAACTGATTAGAACAATATAATTTTTCTATTTGTAATAAATGTATGTGGTAATATTATTGTGTTGTACCTGTGCTCTAGTGCCTCAGGAAAATTGTTTATGGTATTGAATTAATTCACAATCTAGTGTTCTGAAGTGTATGTCAGGACACTTGACAGTTCAGTAAAAAGACCAACTCTCACTTCCTTTTAGTCATAATCTCTCTTTAAGGCAGAAAAAAATTAAAAATAGTCTGTGCAAGATATCTGGGCTTACTGGATAAACAAAAATAAGGAAAGGAGTCATTTTTTAGGGAATTAATGCCTACCATTCTTAGTCCTGCTCCTGCAAACAAGGATGAAATCTTGGTTCCATTGTAGTCAATGGCAAAACAGATTAATTTTAAAAAGGCAAAGTTTAATTTCAGTGGTGCTGACTGACTCTTGCAAATGAGATTACTTATGTCTATAAGTACTTGTGTTTGTCTCAACTCAAATATCTAAAGATTCATAATAGTGTAGTAGATTGGTTTATTTTCTACCAGATAACTATGACACTACACTTGCAATTGGGTTTGTGGGTAGACTCCAGCATGGAGTCAGTTCCAGGTTCTTAGTTGATATATGTCCAGATTTTTTTTCCCAACTGAATAGGTCACTGCCAAACATGAGGGCATCTGAAGACTCGTGACCTGTATGTGATAACCTTACTTGTTTGATAGCCATTTTCTTCCCCCACCTTTACAAGGGTAATTTTTTAATATTGGCAATGCTGAATTGCTGCCACTGAAAAGCTCCATGATTGCAGATGTCCATGAAATAATTCAGCATGTCAAATTTAAAAGTACATAATATCAATGATTTTTATATCCTAACATCTGACAATAGAATTATGGTAAAGATATTGAAACATACATTTGTATTTCTGTTAATTATAAGAACATGTACCAGAAAAAATCTTGGCCTTAAATAAATTCTTAACTATAGAGTAATGGAATTTAGTATATAACAAATTCTTCCAGATAAATAAATCATATAAAAAGAAAACACCCAGTATTTTGTTTTTTAAATCCAGATTTTTAAAATACACAGATCTGTATAATTTATTTTCCACTATATTTCATACAGAATTCTGGTAATTGTACTTTCTTTCCTGGAATAGTTTGAAAGTTATTCAACAATGTTTAATTCACCTTCAGGAACTGTATCTTTTCTATAATGGTAATATGTCTGGCACTGAACTTTTAATACACAGCGTTCCTGTGTTGCAGTTTAGATGCTTCTGACTCCCATCCACAGAGATAAACCCAAACCTGTGACACAGTGATCAAGGATGGAGGTCTTTTATCATATCCACTGAATACTACTGAAATATGCCTATACCAGTGATTACATATTTACTTAATTATCTGTTTTGCTGCTACTGTGCCTAAATGATCGTGACCTATGTCAAATCTTGGATATGAAGCACCAAGCCCTGCTATTGGTAAAAACAGAACTGTAGAAAGGCGGCTGTATACTTAGATCTCATTTCATTTGCTTCTCCAGGGGGTTGTATTAGTAGTGTTTTCATTAGAAATGTTTTTACAGATGTCGGCTATCCAGATACGAAGTCTCTGTGGTAGAGAAGCAGTCAGGAATTTGGCATCCAGAACAGAAAGAAAAAAAGTCAGCTCTGAAAGATTAATTTATAGAAAAATAATTTACTGACTTTCTGGTGTATAAATGTACAGTAACCCCATGGTGGCTTTAATATAGAGTAATTGAATTCTTTCAAGTATAGAAATTGTTTTCTATTTTTAACCCAAAAATCCCCCCTCACAAGCCTGTCATTCCTCATCGTAGAAGACTAAAATAGTGCCCGTTTAATAATGCTTTTGAAAAACTTACACCCACTAATTTGTAGACCTACATTTTTTTCTTTTCTTCTGAAGTAGAATACTTTTGGTGATCTATTAGTATTTTGAACAATTTGTGTTTTTTATCATGAAACATTTTGCCTCACATAGGTACAGACAGTACCTGCGTGTGAAAGTACAGCAGTTTATTGAATATTTGATCAAACATGTTGTAGTAGGTATGTGGATGCATTGACCCAAGCACACTTTGCATTGACAAAACAATCTATATAATCATAATTCAAAGCACATATGGAAACTAACTTTGTTTCAGGGTTCCTACAGAGCATCATTTGACATGAGGGTACATGCTATTTCTAAGCAATATATAACTTGTTTTTTACTGTAAAAGGAAACAGAAATGTATTTATTTTTCAGGGCAGAATGGTGATTTGTAGTCACTAAAAATCATTCTTTAATGTGATGGTTGAAATCCTGAATAAAGTATAATTGCTTTGCAGCTGAACTAAAGTATTTAGCTGGTTAAACAGTTCAACTGGGTTCTCCTAAAGTAGTAGTTATGATCTTTGCCATTTCAGGCAATGATAAAATTATGTCATTGGGCTTTTCATTTGAAGCAAGTTAGTATCATTGATTAGTGCCACTAGCCTTTTATTTCAGGAAATGATGATTCAAGTTCCTCTGTAACTCACCAGTGGGGAAAGCTTGGTTTTCCCTTTGCTTCTTTTGAAGCATAGTCAGTACACTAAACAATTAGTATGTTGTACCCCAGTGACTGTGTTTTGCAAAAAGAGTGGTCTAGGACTTGTAATGTAACATGTTAGAAATAAGGATTGAGATGCATCGGCAGGGCTATGTCTGGAAATGGACATATGACTAGCATCTGTCAAAGATAAGAGTTCTATTCTGCCAGGCACTGTACCCGCACAACACTAACAGGCTTCATCCTAGAAGCTTAGTGTATTATTCAGATTAGTGCCTTTTTATATTGTAGTATTTATACTATACTATAAAAATTGATGCCTTTAATGCCACATTTTCATGAATGCTACTGAATGTCCACAATTGTAGAGGTGGATTTGGGCTGTTTTTCTGAAAAATCTTTTAAGCCTTGTGGAGAAGGGTGTAAAAACAAAGTTCCTGTGTATACAATCCTTGCCCTAATTTTTGAGAGAGAGAATATCATTGGGGGGCTGGACCCGATGATCTGTGAGGTCCCTTCCAGCCCCTAACAATCTATGAATCTATAAAAATGTATGTTGTATATGGACTTTATCATTAGTTTTCTTAAATTGGTATGCATATGAGGATGCTTGAAGTATCCCTTTTTGTTAACTCAGTTTCACAAAAGAGATATTTATCATCCAGAATAACCTAGAGTAAACTCCACAAGATACCACAGGCAACAGTATATGACGACTTACCATGTACTTACTATAACATGTATATAGTATCATGCTACCCAAGAGGAGAAGCTGCCACTTGCAAAACCTTGTATACCTGTAGCATGGTAGACACTGCCTCTATAAAGAGTAAAGGTTTAATTTAATTTTTCCCCTCCTGAGTGGTTTCCCTTTCGATTTCCTACCAACCAAAACTTAACACACCTATACTTCAAGGACAAGTGCAAAATACTGCACTCGGGATGAAATAATTGCATGCACAAATACAGACTGGGGGATAATTGTCTAGGCTATATTACTCCAAAGAAGGACTTGCAGCTTACAGTGGACCAGAAGCTGAATATAAGCCAATTCTATATTGTTCCAGGGCAGGGAGGAAGGAAGCCAACAGCATATTGGGTTGTATTAATGGAAGTATCACGTGTAAAGCAAGGGAAATGATTTTTTTTCCTGCTTTATTCAGTGTTGATGAGTCTTCACCTGCAGTTCTGGGTCCTACACTTCAAGAAAGATGTGAACAAATTAGGGAGAATCCAGCAGAGTGACAAAAATAATTAGAGGCCTAAAAAATTTGATATATGAGGAAAGGCTGAAAGAACTAGGATTATTTAGTCTGAAGAAGAAGAAACTGAGGTGTGGAAGTGGGGATTTGATAACAGTCATCAAATATCTGAAGGTTGATTATAGAGAAGATGGAGATAGGCTTTTCTCTGGCTGTAGGGAACAGGACTAGGAGCAATAGCCTCAGGTTGCAGCAGAGGAAATCTAGGTTGGAGATTCAAAAGTTTCTCACTATGAGATGGTTGAGCATTAGAACAGGCTGCCTAGAAAGGTTGTGGAATCTTCATCCCTAAAAGTTTTTTCTAGAGCAGACCAAATGGACACTTGGCTGGAATTAATGCAGGGTAGAGATGCACCATAGCCCAGGGGTTGGCAACCTGCGGC